GAGGCAATCAAAAGCATGTGGAAACAGATGAGGAGCATGTCAGTCAATCAAATCAGTCAGTCATTCCTTTTTTGTTTGCTTTGGAGCTATACCAAAGATGTTCTCAATGAATCTCTGGATTAAGTATTAACATATATCCTTATACTATAATTTCACTTTATCCCACTATGCAATAGTTTTCAGAACATTAAATGTGAAAGAAAAAAGCACAGTCTGTCCTAGGTTTATTTATCTTAACACCATCAAAAAAAAAAAAATAGAAACAGGGCTCAGACTCTGGTGGCAACGATCGGCTCACATGGCCCACCCCTCCACACAACCCCAGCTAAGCCGCCCCACCTTCTCTCCTGAACCCAAGCCGTGGCACTAGGACCATGCTCTTCTACTCCTTCTTCAGGTCACTTGTGGGAAAGGATGTGGTCGTGGAACTCAAGAATGACTTGAGCATCTGTGGGACCCTGCATTCTGTGGATGAGTATCTCAACATCAAACTAACAGATATCAGTGTTACAGACCCAGAAAAATATCTTCACATGCTTTCTGTGAAAAACTGTTTTATTACTACAGCACACTTAGCTACTACAGAATGCAGCTTAGAAGGAGGCTATGCAGCAGAAACAGTAGTGATTGTCACTACTGCCTGTGTGACATTTACAACCCCCTCCCAACCTTCCCCCCCAGTCCCTCAGCTCAAGATCCTTGTTTTAAAGTGAGGGGTTTTGTTTTGTTTTGTTTTGAAAGGGCAGGAGGGAATAATAGAATGATTTCTAAAAGTGATAGTGCAGGGGAAAGGTTATCCCCTGTAAGTGACAGGAAGGATGGATAGGGGAGGGGGGAGGTGTTGCACAAAGCATTCATCTTGTCCTCTTCCCAAACTCCTCATTTCTTTCTCCTTGCTGGAAAGCTGAAAGCGGGTGGAAGTAATGGGACTGTCTCCCCAGGAAAAAGATGTATCTCAAATTGGGAAATAAAAAGAACCTGTCCCGCATCGGGAATAAAGTTTAAGCCTTGGGGGAAAAAAATAGGAACAACATATTAATTATAACTGACACATATAGCACTTTGAGCTTTGCAAAGTTCCTTACATACATTGTCTCATTGGATTCTCATTACTACCCAGTGAGGTAGGTACTTATTATTTTGCCTCCAATTTGTAGAAGAAGAAACTGATGCCCAGAGGTGATCCTACCACATGTAAGCGTATGAGGTAGATTGAATTCAGTTCTTTCTAACATGAGGTCTAGCATTCTTTTAATTATGCAATGTCTCTAGAAGCGTATACCATTCTTTATAGGGTTTTAACTGTGAAACAGAGGAGATATTTAGGACATTAGCTAGAAAGGATGGCATGGTAAAGGGAAAGGTTTGTTTTGAAGATAGTGGACAACTAAGCATAATTAACTAATTAATGCTTATTTATTAAGATTGGAGTGCAAAGGAGAAAAGGATGGGTAAAAATAGGAGAGTTCCTGTTTGCTCTGAGCATCATGATCAAAACCTTAAGGCTAAAAAAAGAAAAAAAAACCTTAATGCTAACTTTGATTATTCCCTCTTCTACTCCTTCCACATCCAATCAGTAGCTAAGTCGTATAAATTCTACTTCTACAATATTTCTTAATATGTGTCCTTTCTAACAGAAGTTAAGTCCTTAAACTTCACTTAGCACAACCACTTATTATTTTATAAATGAAGAAACTGAAATTTAACTCAAATACCCCTATTAAATGCCTTGCCTGATCTTCAAATTGTTAACTGTCCTCCCCAATATACCTCATGTAGTATTTTGTAATTTTCTTATCCACTTATCCTTTTGTAACTGTATATTACAATTAACTATATTTATGTTTTATGTCTCCACTAGACTGTGAGTTCCATGAGGTTCAGGAAACATGTCTTACCTAAGTTTCTTCCCCTAACACCTCCCACTTCCCATGCCCCATGCCTGAAATAATATTTGGCAAATGGTCATGTTTAATAAGCATTTTCTAAAATGAATAATTTTCATAGCACTTTAAACAACATGTTTTTTTTAAATTAGTGATTAGTATTTAATTTATTCTTAAGTAATTAGTTCTCTCAATTATTCCTTTTTAATTCATAGGATAAGTGATTTTTTAAAAAAAAACTGCTTAGTGATAATAGTTGGCACAATAGCTAGTGTTTATATAGTTCTTTAAGGTTTATAAAATATTTTATAAATTTTATTGAAATTTATACTCACAATAACCCTGGCAGGAGGGTACTCCATTTTCCCCATATGAAGAAACTTAGGTAGACAGAGGTTAAGTGACTTGCCTAGAATCATTCAGCTAGTAAGTGTATGAGGCCAGATAATCTGTCATATTGTGAAACTTTATTTCATTTCAGCATTGAATCTTAATCAGAATTGCAAAATGCTCCAGCATTTTGTGAAAGAATTCTTGTTTTGTTTTTTAAATTATTTTTAGAGTCAGAAAACTGAGTTTCAGTTCCAGGTCTGCTTATTAATTTTGGCAAATTTAATAGTATTTTTTTAACCTATTTTACCCAGCTATTAATTCTCTTTTCATTATTTTATTGCATCACTCTCATTTATTTTCCCAATTTTTCCTCTATCACTTTTATGTGATTTTGAAAATAAATTTTTAGCACTTACAGGAATTCTTTTTTGGGCTTTTGTCCAATTCACATTTTTTCTTTTGAGTTTTTCTTTGTAGCTGTTTTGACTTGATTGTCTTCTTCTGAGTTTGTGTCTTGATCTTCCTTGTCACTACAGTAGCTTTTTATTGGCAGGTTCTTTTTTGTTTTTAAATGTTTGCTCATTTTTCCAGCCTATTTCTTGACTTTGAATTTTATGTTAAAGTTGAACTCTGTTCATGTGGGGAAAAGAGGGGTGCTATCTCAAACTTCAGGCTTTTTGGTGCTGCTTTTTGCACAATTAGTTCTGGTGTGTTTGTAAGTTTTCAATGCTTCCAAAGAAGTGTGATCAGGGGAGAGGTATGGTTACTGCTGACGTTGTCTGTACACTGGTCCTTAATTAGGAAGGGCCTCTGATCTCTGGCAGCTGCAAGCACTCTTTCTCCTCAGGGCCTCTGCTTCCTTGTGACCACAAGTGTTACCCCAATGGAACTTCAACTCAGAAGTGGATATGGGCAATGGAGTGACCAAATAGTGCCCAGTCCTGTGCTCAGTCCTGTGCCCAGTGCTAGCACACTTGTCCTTTATATTTTTTTTTTCTGACCAGTTGTTCAGTCTCCTTACTGGCTCTGGGCTGAAAGCTCCCCATAGTACCATGGCTGCTATTGCTACCACCTCCAAGGCCTACAGGTAGTGTTGCCAACATGTGTGTTTCAAGCCAACCCCTGCCCCAGTATCACAGACCTCTCTTTCTGACCTCTTAACTTGTCTTGGCTTTGAAAAATGTCACCCCAGGGGGCAGCTAGGTGGCGCAGTGGATGGAGCATCAGCCCTGAGGTCAGGAGGACCTGAGTTCAAATCCGGCCTCATACCAAACACTTGACACTTACTAGCTGTGTGACCCTGGGCAAGTCACTTTACCTCAATTGCCTGGAAAAAAAAAATGTCATCCCAGAATTTAATTTGGGGCATTATTTTAAAGTTTTTGGTTTTTTTTTTTTCTTCAGGGAAACATTGGCAGAACTGGGGTGTATAGTGCTTCCTCTACTCAGCCATCTTGGCTCTGCCTCCAGTAACATGGTCATGTAAGAATTATGTCAGGAAACCAAAACCTAAAATGAGCTTATGGGCATGATGAATGCTAAGGACAACCAAAAATGTTTTTAGCTATATTGGTTGTAAGAGAAAAAAAAAATAATTTGATAAGACTGTTACTTAGGATGTGTGGAATGCTAATAACAGTCAGTGGTGAGTTATCTGAACTACTGAACTGTTATTTTGCTTCTTTTTTCTATTTCAAAAGAAATAATCTTTTGATTTGGGGAATAATATTAATGACATAATTCTCAAATTTGCAGGTGATAGAAAGCTTGGTTTTATATACTGGAAAACAGATTCTGGATTCAGAAATACCTCAACAGGCTAAAATGTTAGGCCATATAGAATATGATGAAATTTAATAGGCATAACTGTAAATTCCTACACTTGGATTCAAAAACTGTTTCATAATTATAGCTAAAGAGAGGTCAAATTACCCAACAGTGCCTGTGAAATAGACCTAGGGATCATGGCATACCATAAGCTCAATATGTTCTGCAGTATCACATGACAATCCCCCAAATTAATGTGATCTTGGATTACATTTAGGGAAACACAGTGTCCTGAATAAGGGAAATCATTGTTCTGCTATAAATATATACTGGCCATGCCATATTTGGAGTACTATATTCAATTCTGGGGACTATGTTTTAGAAAGATGTTAACAAGCTAGAAAACATCCATAAAGAGAGGACCAGAATGGTGAGAGGACTAGAGAATATTGCCACATGAGAATCAGTGGAATGAATTGACAGTGCTTTAGACTGGAGAACAGGAGATGTAGAGGGGGAGGACCTGACAGCTGTTTCCAGGTACTGAAAGACTGTTATGTGGAAGAGGAAGTAGACTTGTTCTGCTTAGCTCTGCAAGGCAGAACTTGGATATTATAGAGTGGTAGATTTAGATACGATCGAAAGGAAAATTGGAGGTGGTGTATTGTCTTAGACTGGAGTCCTTCAAGCAGAGCCAGTATGAACGCAGGGGAGATTCTTGGTTTTCTTCAGTCAGGTACGGATTGCCCTCGTTGTCCTTTAAGGTCAATTTCTGCTTTTAGATTCTATAAGGAAGTATTTTTCAGGTCTGTTCTTTTTAATTTGTTTGTTTATGAAGTTCAATTTTAAAGTTAATTTGATTTTGCCATGGTACTTTACTGTCCTTCTTAATAGTGAGTAATTAGCCCTATATTTTATGGCCAAAAGCAGTGGAAGATGTTTGTTTTATAAGAACAAAATATGAATACTATTACCATTTGATGACATAAATTGTATTTTGAATGATTGGTTTAGGGATGAAGACATGCAAAGTTTGGCCAGTTTGATGAGTATGAAGCAGGCTGACATTGGCAATTTAGATGACTTTGAAGAGGACAATGAAGATGATGAAGAAAACAGAGTGAACCAAGAGGAAAAGGCTGCAAAAATTACAGGTTAGCCTTGTCATATCATAGCACAAAGTTTCTTTTGTTTTTGTTTTTGGCCAGGGTTGGGGGAGGGAGGAGGTGGTGGGATGGTGAGGATCATGGAACTTTTATTCTGGTTTCTCAGAAAACCATTTGACTCAGTAGATAGTTTTTCGGTAGTTTTCCTTTATCATACCCTTTCTGAAGAAGAAACTTTATGACACCTCTCTGCATACTGTCTAGGCTTCTGAAGACGCATTGCTGCTACAGTTTTGTAGCTTTGCAGTAATTTAAGATAAAGTCTGAGTACAGGTAAAAGTATGAAAACTTACCTGAAACTATTAATTCACTACTTCTTGTGGCAATGTATGGATGGATTTTTATGTAATAATATAATTGCCGTTGGTTACCAATCTACCCTAAGACATGACAGAGAAGGTGACAAAAATAGATATGTGTCAACCTCCCTTAGCTTATGCTCATTTATTGCAATTTTGAATTTATTAATTTAATAAAGAACCAGACAATCCATCAATTTACATGTTTGTCATGTTTGGCAGCATCTAGAAGCTCCTATGCAGCTGGACCCTCAAACTTCATCAATTAAAAAACTTCTCATAAGACACTAAATAATTTAGAACTGTTTTTTTTAAACATAGTAACTAAATGATTATATCTATATCCACATCTGTATCTATATCTACAATGTCTACATCTCTATATCTAGATATAGATACAGATATAGATATAGACATAGACAGAGAGGTTAAGCTCTGTGTGTGTGTGTGTGTGTGTGTGTGTGTGTGTGTGTGTGTGTGTGTGTATGAGAGAGAATAGAACAAGCAAATTTAAAGAAACAGTATTTTGCAACCTATTACCTTGAGAAAAATCAAGGACTTTTGGTGACAGCTGATCATAAAAGCATCTTCATGTACTTCTTTTAGTTAGTGAATTGTACAAGAAACCTGGAGAAATGGCGTACTATTTGTTTTCTCAACTTCTTCCATAAATTCTGTCCCCACTAGTCTGTCTCACATTTATTTCCTTTTACTTTGATCTTCTCTTATACTTATTTTATTTATGACTGTTTAATTCTACATATGTTGCTGCATTTTGTTTTAGACTGTTTTTGTTGTGCAGATCTTGTTTCCCTTCCTACAGTTTACATCGGGCAGGAAAACTATCTTTTATTTCTTGGATATTTCCCACGACGCCTGGTTCATGTCGTAGGTTATGTGACTGTATTAGTTAGTCCTTTATAAGCTCACATATTGAGTTATAGGCTTCGAGAATTGGAAGGGCCTCGGAGGTCGTTGAGGGCACTCCAAGTCTTGTTGACTCCTTCTCCTTAGAAAGGATGACGTAGATTATTAGTGTAATCTGTCACCCTTCCAATATTGCTGCTGGTAACAATTCTATGAGCATGTAGAAAAAATATATGTAAAAATGCTCCTAATGTTTAAAAGGATTCTGACAATGTATTTTGTTTACATGAAATTATATTACTTAAGGACTTCTGTATATCAGTATTTTCTATAGAAAAGTGATTGTGACAGACATAAGGGCCCTTCTGGTATTCTTCATTTTTTAAAAATTTTATTATTAAAAATTAAACACAGGGTCATAGATCTAGAACTATGAAGGGACCTTACTAATCAGCTGTGTTAATTCTCTCATTTTATAGATAAGGAAACTGAGGCCCAGCTAAATTAAATAACTTACCCATGGTCGTATAGGTAATAAGTATCAGGGCTAGGACCAGAATGCAGACCTGAGTGTGACATGATTTTAAAAATTAAACCGTGGAGGAACAGGTGAAAAGAGTAATTATCTTATACAAATGAGATGTGAAAGGAAGAGCTGGCATAGAAGAATTAGATAGGAGAGGAGGGCTGATAGTTCTGGAACTCTGCCTTCATTAGGAATGGGTTAAAGAAGGATCTGGAAGGGTATAAAAGTCTTTTAAATTCAGAGAGAAATAAAAGGCTAAGGAGATGGGGGGGAGGATAAGGGAAGGAATTTAGGGTGGGGGAAAGAGGATAAGGGAGGGATTTTTAGAGGCAAGGATGAGGGAATAGGATAAGGGGAGGGTAATAGAAGGGTATTTAGATTAACAGGAATGGGAGGATAAGGGAGGGATACTTGAAGCGGGGATAGGTTAAGTAATAGGAGGGCAAGGTAGTGGGTAGAAGTAAAGTAGAGGAGTCAGGAGAGATAGGAAATAAGAGATATACACAAACATAAAATAAAGACCAGGAGTAGAATTTATTAGGGAAAAAAAAGCAGGGATAGTAATGTGATCTCAGACAAAGTTAAGGCTAAAATAGATTTAATTATAAGAGAAAAATAGGGAAACTACACTGTATGTCAGCCATATTAATGAATATTAAACAGTTTTAGACTGTTTAAAATAACTAGACAGTATACATTTGGAATGTTGCTGTGGTATAGGAAATGATGAGTTGGTAGACTTAGAAAAATATGGAAAGACTTGAACATAAGAAAGAATAGGTTATCCACCCTCAGAAACAGAGGACAAATAAGTATAGTAGGGTCTTACATAGATTCATATGAAAGTATATGTCTATATACAATTATGATTATATATAAGTATATATAAGTGTATATGTATGTGTATATGCATGCATATGTCTTTGTATATGTGTATATATGTATGTTTGTATGTGTACGTGTGTGTGTGTGTGTGTGTGTGTGTGTTTGTTTGTGTCCATACTCAATTGTACCTTCTGAGAGGAAGGGAGGGAGGGGGAAAAAGAACAAAGTGCAGAGTGCACAGCAGAGAACAAAAGAAAACTTACAAGGAAGCAAAGAAAAGATGGGCAGCTCTGAACACAATGTGTAGTATTTGTTACATAGGCTTTCTTGAAATGGAAATTTATTGCTGTGTATTTTGAATCCTCTCACATTCTGCTGTGCACATGACAATGCTTTTTTTTCTTTTCTTATTTTGTATTTTAGTTTTAATTTTAAGTTAATAATATGTTTCTTTTTCTTATTGTATATTTAAGTTTTTGTATTTAAAATAATTTTTAAAAAAAGAAAACTAATTTTCCAGCAGCCAGTCAATTAGTAAGCATTAAGTGCCTACTGCTGTGTACTAGGCATTAGGAATACATAGAAATTTAAGCAGTCCTTGCCATCAAGTATCTTGCATTCTGTTGAGGGAAACAGTGTGAATCTGTATAAGTTTATGCAAAATATATACAAAGTAAATATGAGAAAATTTCAGGGAAGTAACAGCTAAGGAGTTCAAAAGAGGCTTCTTAAAGGAAGTGGTGCTTGAACTGAGCTTTGAAGGAAACCAGGTATTCTAAGAAGCAGATATGAGGAGAAAGCTTATTTCAGGTATATGGGGTACAGCCTGTGTAAGGCATAGAGAGAAAGATGGAATGTGGTATGTGAAGAATAGACAGAAGGGCAGTTTGGCCATATTATGGAATTCAGGAAGAGAAATGATATATAAGTCTGGAAAAGCAGGTTGGAATGAGGTTGTGAAAGTACTCAATCTTTTCCAGGCTACACTTTGGACTCTCTCTATGATGACTCAGGAACCTCTTTATTCTACAAGATCACTGTAGTCCTGGAATTCACACACTGGAAGTAATCTTCAGCCCCTGTGGCCTCTCCTTCTGATTTGATGGCTCCTCTCAACCTCTCCTTTAAGGAGAAAAATCTAGCCAGCAATTTCTCATTCCTCTCCAGGATACACTCCAGGCTTTTCTACTATGTTCCCTCTCTAGGTATTTTCATTCCCTTCTCCTACTATCCCCATTTTAGCTTCCCTTTATGGGTTGTCTTCCCCCATTAGAATGTAAGTTCCTTGAGGTCATGGATTGTTCTTTCTCCTTGTGTTTGTGTTCCTAGCATTTAGCACAGTGCCTGACACATAATAACCACTTAATAAATGTTTGTTGAGTAACTGACAAATATCAGGCTCTCAGTTTGTGGACCTTTCTCAATATCTCATGTTTGATTCAGTTTAACAATTCAACACGCATTTTATTAACACCTAGAGACTGGGTATACAAAGAAAAAAATTGAAACAGGAACCTGCATTCTCACTGATAAATCTTAGATCTGCCTTTGACACCTACTAGCTGTGATCACTAGCAAGCAACTGAGCCTCTTCTGTAAAACAATACCAGGAGTACCTATTTTATATGCTTATTTTGAGGCCTAAATGAAATAATACATGTAAAAGTCTTTGAAAAATGTAAAGCACTATTTGAATGTCACTTAGGAAAGTCTTTTGTAATATATGTGGCAAATCATCATTTATTTTCTTTAACCATTCTCTGTGATGAGAAACTAAGTAGTTTACAGGGCGGTCTTTTCATTTTTGAGCAGTCAAAATTGTTAGAAAGTTCTTCCTTTATTTAGAGAGATGCTATGTTTCTTCCTTTGTTTCTCATTCTGCTACATAAGCTATCTGACTCCCACATGACCATCTGAGGCTCCACAGCCTGAACTTAAGAGACTACAACTTTACAGCATTTTTCTCTTCTACCCTCAAGCCTGGGACTTGGCTTATTGACCACCTCTACTGATTTCTAGTTGTCAGTACCTCCTGTGTCTGAACTAGTTACCTCAGCACTCAGGTAAACAGGCAAAAAAAGAGGACTTAGACTTTTGTACCCCACTTCTCCCTCCTGAAAACAGCATTCCCACCATTCCTTAAAGATATTTTAGTGGATCTTACTGCAAAGGTTTATAAAAGAAAAAAATGAAGGAATTATAATAATGAAATAATCCACATATCCAACAATAGCTATACTACTTTCCTGGTAATACTAATAAAAAGAAATTTGGAAAGTGATATGATGTAAGCAATATGAAAGAAGAAAGCAAGACCATAAGAACGATAGTCCAACTGACATTATTATATTTCAGTACATCAATTAATCCATGATCTCACCAAAGTGATTACTCCCACTAATAGTACAGATCATTATGCATGCATGACATGTTATCTCATGTTGTGCTAATCAATCATAAAAGTACCTGCTATGTGCAAAGCACCAGGTTAGGTGCTAGGCTTACAACAACAACAAAAAAAAATGGTCCCTTTTTTTTCAAGAGCTTACGTTCTATGAGGGGAGACAGTGTGTGAACACAGAAATTTGCACAAAACTATACAAAGTAATCGTATGGAAGGGGTGGCACCAGAAGCTTGAGGAGATCAAGAAAGGCCTAATATAAGATGTATTTGAACTAACTTGGACTGAAACTAGGGGTTCAAAGAGGTAGAGGAAAAAAGGGAGTTAATTCAAAGCATGAGCAACAGCCTGTGCAAAGGCATAGAGGTGGGGGATGGAATGCCATGTCAAATCAACAGGTATTTATTCAGCACCTACTCGGCAGTTAGGCATTGAAGATGAAAATACAATGTGGGATGGAAGAGTGAATGAAAGGGAGTAATGTGTAATAAGTCTTGAAAAGTAGATTGGAAACAGTTTGTGAAACACTTTAATAGTAAAGGGACTTTGATATTTTATACTAAAGGTAGTGGGGAACCATTAGAGTTTATTGAGCAAGGAAATGACATTATTAGGCTTTATTAGATATTTTAGGAATATCACTTTGGCTATATGTGAAGGATGGATAAGACAGCCTTGAAGCAGAGAGACCAGTTAGGAGCCTTTTACTCTGGTCTAAGAACCTGAACTAGGCTGGTGGCCATGTGAGTGTGGAGAAAAGGTCAAATGCAAGAAGTGTTGTGGAGATATAATCAGTAAGACTTGACAACTGATTGGATGCATAGGGTAAAGGAGAGAGTGAGAAGTCAGAGATGATTTCAAGAAGGCAGTCCAGGGTGACTGGAAAGATAGTGAGGCCCTTAACAGAAATATGGAACATAGTAGAGTTCGGGGAAAAGGTACTGAGATTTGTTTTGTACCTGCTCAGTTTGAAATGTCCAAAAACCAGATGTCTCTTTTTTTCCTATGAAATCTTTATGAAGTATTTATCAAAGATGTTTGAAATTTTCTGCTAGACGATTTTAAGTTTTCCTAGGTGCCAAATAGTGCTTAAGATGTTTTACTTTTCTCTCACTACATGACTCACTCTACTCCCTTTTAGGTCATGTATTTCCTTGATGAATATACCTTATACCACTTCTTCCCCACCCCACTCTCTCAAATTCTCATTATCTATTTATTTAGTTTTTTATTTATTTTTATTTATAAAAATTTATAAAAAAATTATTTCTTTTTAATTCATGTTTGTACTATCATTTGCTTTTACCTTACATTCATTTCCTAATATATCTCTTTCCCTCCATAAGGAATTGACTCATAACAAGATATTTAAAAAATAACAAATAAATCAACAGAATTGACCAACACATCAGCTAGGTCTGACATTTTACCAAGTGTCCCATACTCAAAGTCCCTCACCTTTACAAAGAGAGAGGGAGAAATGTGCATTTTCATATCTGTTGTCCAATGTTAAGCTTAGTCATTATTGCATAGTATTGAGATTCAGAGTTTTTGTTATTTTTATTCTTTCCATTTACATCATTGTATTCATTGTATAGTTATCCATTATGCATCATGACTTTCCCCATCATGGTTTTGATATGTTGTGGATCGGCATAAGAAATTAAATGAGAATTTTGGGGGAGTTTTGTGGAAGCCTCAGATGACACACAAAGGCCAGCAGATGACACAGAAAAAGTTTTGAAACTCAGAAGTGCATAAAATATATGTATAGTATTGTGTAATATCAACATTTTATCATTTAATAACACAATAATTCAGGCTTCTTCTGTGGTACAAAAGAAGGGCCAAAAAATTTTATGTGGATTTTCCAGATCGTGGGGGTGCCATACCCCTAACCCCTGTGATGTGGAAGAGATAACTATGTATTGTTTTTCTGTGTTCTGTTTAGTTTACTTTGCATCAGTTCATAAAAGGCTTCCTGTAGTTAAAATACAATTGGAGATGAAAAACTTTACTAGCAAGTTAAGAAGAAAATGTTAATTTTTCCTTAATAAAATTGTATAAGAAATAAAGTTATTGAAATAGATATTTTCTCTGACCCATCTCAAGCCCTGTTTTTGCCTCTGACCCATCTCTTTGATCCACCTAGGAATCTCAGAGCAATCCTTAATCATAGGTAGGTATATTTGGCTTGTTTTCCCTAAATTAAAACATTACTCTTTCTTCTCTTGATAGTTAATATCTCAGCCTAACTTGGGTAGGCCTATTTGATATGGTTCTAACTAGTCTTATTTATCCCAAAGCTATGTTTTATTGGTTGTTTTTCAGTTAGCTCTCAGAATTGGCTTTCTCTTCCAGTTTAAAAGCTCACCCCTTCTTCCATGCCAGCTCTCTCTTTCCTCAAACTTCCTGCCAGTTTCTCGTTTCTAGGCTAAGAGTGCATGATTCTGTCCTATGTTTCTTCTGTTATGCCTTTGCTTAAAGAATGACATTGGAAGTATGATTTCATACCTACCCCCTTCCTCCCCATCAAGAGCTTCCTATACTTCATGTGGATACCTAATTTAGTTTAGTTCATTGTAGTTTAGGATTCCTAAGCTTAAGAGATGCTCTAGCCTCAGCGTTCCCCAGGAACAGAGATTTTAGGAATAAACCACCATGCTCAGGAGAAGTAGAACTTTCTACTTTTTCATTGGATACTAGAGCATTAGCATATTATCTAGAGTCCTAAATGTTCCCAAAATTATTTTGCCTGTTGCCCCTTTTGAAAAAATAACTCAGCACCCCCTTAGAAATCTACTGTCTTTAACCATTTAATTTTTTTTTAAATTGACATCAATTTGAACTACTACCCTCCCCCCCTGATCATCCAGCACTCCCCAGACGGCAGTATCACCCACTTTGGGAACTTATTCTAGAGTATCTTACAAAATACTTTATTTTTTAATATTGGTTTATGAAATCTCTTTTCATATACAGATCTTTCCATTGTAATAATATATTTGATAAAGCTGTATTAAATATTCATTTGCATACACAAATCATAAGTTAATCCTCAATTAATTATTTTAAACAATTGTGTATGACTCTGAGCAAGTTGCTTAACCTGTTTGTCATAGTTTCCTCATTTATAAAACAGGGATAATAATAGCACTTACCTCACAGGGTTATTTTGAGGATCAAATGAAGTAATAATTGTAAAGCATTTAGCTCAGTGCCTACTGTATGAATGTTAGCTATTAGTATTATTGAAATATTTATTTATTAGTGATTTTTTCCATCTTAATGATCATACTGTTGAATAATTTTCTCAGTACCTAAGTTACTCCTAAGTTGTAATTTAAGCAACTTGAACCTGGTGTCCTGTCATAATTAATATTCCTTTAAAAGATGCTTAATTTGTAACCAAATAAGTTATTCTTTTAAGCTTGTAGGACAACCTTGTAAGTAACCTTAAAAACTCAGGAAGTATACATTCTATTTGGTCCCTCAAATTTATTCTATCCACATTTAGAGGATTTCTGCCCACCTATCCCCTTTAAAAAAAAATGCCAGGTCAGTAAGCTTAGAGGTTACATCCTTTAAGCAATACATTGTTTTCTTAACAGAAATTTCCTGGAAAAATCAAGGAAAACAGGAATACAAACTATAAGCTGCTTTTCTGATTTTTTTAGTTCAGTTTTGATTTTTCAAAATATCCTGGGATATCAATCTATGCTAATTTATGTAATTGATATAGAAATGATCTTAGAAAATTTAGTTTTAATTCAGAGTAATATTTTATGCTGTGTGAAATTTTATATAAAATTTAAATTTTATCCACAAACACAAAAAGTAGTGACTAATACTGGGAGCCAGTTTTAATTTCTTGGATGATTGTTTGATGTTGTGCTCATTTGCATAGTCTTTGTGTTCCCCTAGTGGTTTAATCATACTATGCTTCTTCTTTTTCAAATTCTGGAACAGCATAATATTCTAATGCATAAGTATATGATAGATCATACACATAACACTTTAAATGGATTCTCTTGATTAACAAAATATCTTTTCTCTTTTTTTTCTCTATCTTTTTTTTTTAATAACAGCATGCTTCTACTGCTTTTTAATTAAATGACCTTACCTTACATTTGTCTTGACTGGCTTCTGTTTACAGAAATTGTAAACCAGTTGAATGCTCTGAGCAGCTTAGATGAAGATCAAGATGACTGCATAAAGCAAGCAAATATGCCTTCAGCTAAATCAGCCAGTTCTTCTGAAGGTCTATGAGCTTACCCCCTTTCTTTCTGTTTCTCATTGCTTGTATTTATTGTGATCTGCTGCTTCTTGACTTATGCTTATGTTCAGCTGTCAGTGTTGTCTTTGTGCTTTTTCCTTGAATGTTCTGTTTGGTAATTTGTAATGCACCAACAGGAAATAACATAATAATCCATCACCTTGGTGATAGCCTCATAACAAGATCCTAGTAGATAATGTTTTTTTAAATACCTTATGAAATTATGCATGCTTGGCCATTTATTTTAACTTAAAGTGTTCCTGAATTATGTGGAAATATTATTAGTATGTTCTTTTAAAATCATTTTCTTATGCTGAATGCCAAAACCAACATTCACGTTTTGTAAGTAAGGGATTTATTCATTATTTTTAACCTTTTAAACTATTTCAGTATTTATTTATTGTGCCAGCTTAGATTGAAATTAAAACTGGAAGGTACCTTAGGAGATGATTTAGTACAACCCTCTCATTTTATACTTGAGGAAATAAATCCAGAGAAGTGAAATGGCTTGCCCCATGCCATATACAGGTACTAGGCAGAAGCAGAATTGAAACAGGGAAAATGTATCCTATTCATTTAATTTTTTTAACATGAAAATGTTGGTGTGCTACAAAATACATGAATTATTTCTGCCATTGGTAAAACACCACACATGCTTTATTGTTTTTTCAGGGACTGTTGGTGTGAATTTTTAGAATTTAAAATGTTTATTGCAATCATAGTTTATTCACAAAACTATGCCTTAATGAAGAAATCCTTAAATTTATTTTCAGAACTTATCAGCAAGCTTAACTTTTTGGATGAAGGAGAACAAGATTTTACCACTTTGAGTTCAAATCCATTTGGTGATCCTGATGTAGCTGAATTAAACCCATTTGGAGATCCTGATTCAGAAGGTATAAGTTGTTTTTTTTTTTCCTTTTTATATCTATAGTTTAATATTAAATCACAGATAAGTTTCTAGGGTCATATCATTGTATGTTGTAAGGAAGAAAGTATTTACAGTAGCACAGTAATCTTGTATAATTTCTCTTATAAAAATTTATATATAATAGGACACTAAATTTTAGTTATTTATACTTCTGTTTTAGGTCAATCAACTAGGCAGTAAAGCCGTGATGTTAATGATAATAGTTGTACTAAGGTAAATGGGGAAATTAGTACTCACTATTAGTACCTTTTAGCTCGTTTTGAACCCTCAGGGATTTTAAAAGGAGATTGTAGTTGATGATAGAAACCTGCCATGTTGTAGATTGAGGGATCATTCTTTTAAAATAATGTCATTCTTTTCTTTCTCTCCCTCTTTCTTTTTGTGACCATCCTTATCTCTAAAAATCAATAAAAATGCTTGCCTCCATTGTAATTAAATTTAGTAAGTAGAGAGAAGGCTTTAGAAATTAATATAAAGTCTGAATTATAGAACATTTTATAATATAGTTTCAGTTTATTATATAATGATCCTGGGAGGAATTGTTGTAAACAATAGAGAAGGAAACCTTTTGATTTTCATGTCAGCTATTTGTAGATAACTTCTACAGTCCTTGAAAGTGTTTTAAAATGATGTGTGATCCAGTCATTTCAACTTTCCCTCTACCATTCTTGCTTACATTGTTAATTTATGTAACAAACCCTTATCTCAAATACTGATACTGGATAGGTAGATTTCTATATAGCTTTTGTCTGGATTGGCACAAATTCCAAGATAAATTACATTTATAGGATATGAATTTTTGTACCCCCAAAGACCATAGAACTAGAAGATACTTGAGGGGCAAGTAACTCAAATTCAAATCCTGCCTCAGATTCTCACTAGCATGTGAACACTGGCAGCTCAGTTAACCTCTCTCAACCCTATTTATACAGTGGAGAGAGTAACAGAACCTGCTTTATTTCAAGGATCAAAGAAAATAATATATATGGAGTTTTTTTAAATCTTAAGCATTATATAATAACTGTTATTATTAGGAACCATAACAGTAATATTATAATAAAAACTTGACCTGAGGTCTTATTGATATCTAATCTTGTTCTAAGATAGTTAAGTTATTTTGCTTGCAAAAATAGCTCTAATAAGAGATCGTATAGTTTGATCATCTCATTCTACATTTTAGAGAACTGAGGTCCTGTGACATTAAATGACTTGCTCAGTGTCATCCAGCTAATGATGAAAGAAAGGAGACTAGTTCTCTTTCATTCTAATCAGCATGTATTATGTTAGAATAAGGGTTCTTTACTTGTTAGCCCATAGATAGAGTTCAGGGGAACTGAATAGGAGAAAAAATTACATCTCTATGCTTACTAACCTTTAGTTTTCTCTGTTATCCTTTGTACTTCATTTTATGTGTTTAAAAATATTATTCTGATAAGGAGTCCATATCTTTCGCCAGTTTTCCGAAGGATTACACAACATGAAAAATGTTAGGAAACCCTTTGATAGACCAGGCTTCTAGTTTGCCTATTAGATTATTGGATCATCATATTTAGATCTAAAAAGGAACCTAGAATTCCTCTAATTACATTCCCTTCAATTTACAATTGTAGAGACTCAGGCCTAGTAGTATAAATGACTTCCTCCACAAAATTACAAAGATAATCTTAGTCACTTAAGGATAAGAATAATTTGCCTAAATGTTTTGAATGATACTTGAATTCCTTATTCCAGAGTATGACTATATTAAATCTAAATGATTTTCTAACATAAAACCAACCATGAACCAAAGTAGAAGGAAAAAAACCGTAATCATAATCTTATATCCTCTTTGTATCAGTTTAGGAGGCTAATAGTCATAATTCCAGATTGTTAATAAGACTTGTAGGCCTAGGAAAGAATATAATAATCAATATTATCTTTTTTGTGAAAGATATTGTTCTCTTTGAGACGTATCTGTTTTCTATTCTTACTAATAGTTATTCAGCATACTTATGCTCATTTTTTAAATTGTGTGTTACTTTTTTTATTAAGACCTCTCCCTAAATAATAGCACTATATTGGGGAAGACAAAGCTACCAGGATAGTAATGATAGTTCAATTTGTTTTTACAGTTCTGAATTGACTTAAAAAAAAATCTGCCCTTTCTCTTCACTTTGTTTAAAGGTTTTTTATCTACTCATTGACATTTTGCACTTCAGTGGCTCTTTTAAAAACTCATTAGATGTGTTTGTAAGCTTTTGTATGAAATAGTCTTACCTTAAACCCTCTTTTGTTACTGTTATATCATTTTTCAATCTTGCTTTATGACTTCAAATGCTTTCTTGCTTTTGATTTTCCCAAGAGTGGTGATTATGTTTGGATCAATTTTTGCTGTTTTCTTCACAAATGTACACATAAAATCTTATTTCCATTGACTAGCTTTGTCAATTTCTTGTTTGTTATTCATGGCATACACCACAAAGACTTTATTTTTGGTAATTTAAATCAAAGATTACACATTTGTATTTTACAGAGATATGGTTATTGCCATTGTATGTTACTGTGATTAAAGGAAGATATTATGAGTGTGTCTACAAGAATAAGGGCTACATCTTTCCTTTAGTATTTAAAAAAGAAAAAAAAACTACATTTTTTCTTAAACTTATGCTACAGTTTGTAATTCTTTGCAATGCTAATTTACCTTATAGTGATAAATTCTTTCTCAAAGCTCTTAATCAAATTTGTTATAATTGGAATCCAGAAAATATTTTAAAGAGTCAACGTAAAGTCAAAAATCAATTTTCTGACCTATGATGTACTAGTATGATGTTTAAAAACTGTTCAACTTTTAAGATGTATAAGACCCCAGCCCACAATATATCTTAATCAAATATTAGAACATGTGTGTACATAAATGTAATTGGACAGAATTCTCAGAAATGCCAGTTATTATCAGATGTTTTTCAGAAGAAGAATTTCCAGTACTTGTATTTTTATCTGCTCTTCTATTATTCTTCAATCTGTACCCTTTCTCCTTTACTCCATGTCCCCCAGGACTTTTGTTAAGTGAGAGGCAGAACAGAGTACTGACTGAAGGACTTGCATTGCAGTCAGGAGCTCAATTCCTGTCTCTGAAATGTATTGCCCTTATGATCATGTGATACTCTCATATCTCCAGGCAATTTTCTAGGGCTATAAGTTATTAAGTTCCAACTTGCATCAGTGGAAGCTTTCTATAGGAAAACAGAAACGTGTTCTGCCTAGGGCAGCAGTATGCAAAGCTGCAGTAGTAGCTAAATAGACAGCTAAAGAACTAAGGGATCTGGTGCAGGACACTAGTATGTGCATTTGAAGCTGCACCAGGCTTGCATGGAAGAGGGCAGAAATCCATTTAGGGCCAGTTCTGTACCCTAGAGGTCACTTGGGGCAAGGATTGACGGAGGCCTGTGAAAAGTGAATTTCCCAGCATGGGAGATAACTGAGACAACTTTGAGGTATACCCTTCCAAGGATCCACCACCAAAGAGGAAAGGAGTCAGAAAGTAAGCAATAAGGGAATTGAGGAGGAGGAAAAGACTGAAATTACCAAAGATCTTAGAACAAAGAAAGCTCAGTTTAAAAACATTTAGCAAAGCAGATAAGTCAACAGGGAAGATAACCTCCAGGACATCTAAATAAGTCCAAACATCACTAAATCAATATCGTGAGAATCAGCGCTTGATGAGGCATAGCACCCTATGAATTCCCAAGAGGTCAACCACAGCAGGATGTTGCTGAATGATTCAGAAGAGAAATAAGAATTGTAAGAGCAGAATTTGTGGCATGTATTACAGAAATAATTGGCAGGATAGAAGAACTTGAATCCGTGGTGTCAAGTCACTCCAAAGAAATGAGAGAGAACAACGAATTGGGACTACAAATACATAGAAGCAAATAATAGTCTTGAAGAGGAGACGCAAAAAGTGGTGTTAAAAGAACACATTATGCAAGCAAAACATACTAATCTCAAAGACGAGATGCATGGAGACAACAGCTTAAGGATCATAGAACACAAAGGACAAGTCAAAAAATGTGAACGTTGGAATGCAAGAAATAATAATGCAGAAAACTCCCCAGGACTTCTGAGTACAGGAAACAAAGTGCTAATCAAAAGTGTGATCTATAGATCACCTCCAGAAAAAAAGGACAAACATTCTGCAAACTCTAACATTTACATGTAACGATTTCAGTGACAGACAACGAATTCTGCAAAGCAACCAAAACTCTTTCAAACCTAAAGGAAAAGAAATTTGAATAACAAACAACTCTTGTGTATGTACCCACCAGAAATCACAAAAGGGAATGAACAGTGTGTTCTGAAGACTGAAGGAGCTCAAGATGCAACCCAGAGTGACACACTTAACAAACCTGAGTCTGGTCCTCAATGAAAAAATGTGGACATTCAATGAAGGAGTCACTTGAAACACTCCCAACCCCCCAAACAAAACACCAGATGTGAGCAGAGATGTTGTAAACACTCCCAAACAGCTGAAAAACAAGAAAGGTAAACAAATATAACAGTCAAGGAATAAATAATCCTGGGAGTTGGGGGGAGGGATCTGAAACAGAAAATAACAGCAACAAAATAACTGCAGAGGGTCCATTAGGATATTTCTTTAAAGTACACAGGGGAATCAAGGGTGAAAGTTGAACTTAAAAGAAGTGATGTTAGAGGAAGTGGTCTGAGGCACCATAGAATAAACCCTCCAACATCTGTCTACCAGTCAGTCTTTTTTTTTTTTTTTTTGTGAATTAAACTGCAGAATGAGAAGGGGCATGTAAAAGGGAAGAGGGAAATATGTAAAGTATCTTAATCAAGTCTGGGGTAAACAATGAGGGGAAAATAACTGCTGCAGTCTCTCAGCAAGAAGAGGGGCTACATGAAACTAGGTGGGATTGCAAAAGCTGGGGGTGAGGGTAGGGGAAGGGATTAAAACAGTGAACAAGA